CTGATTCCGTTGACCCTGGGAGCCAAGTAGAATTCGTGGATAGAAAAGGTAAATTTAGCTTTCAAATTTTCATGTGCTTGGAGCTTAATCATTAACTGTGCCAGCTTTCAGCTTAGTCTGCCTCGGTTAATATTTCTTCTGAAAAGGTTTGTGAATCTCATCAAAGTGGTTACTATTGCAACTCAAGTATTCTGGGTTTCTTTTGATCTTGTAAATGTGCCATAAGCTGGAAAATCAATGCTGTATAAACATATCAATAATAGAAAACAAGTTGATACAAAGGACTAGATGGAAGCAATATGAATCTTTCTTGTTAGATATCTTGCTGTCATTTGTATACGTTGCGTCAACCTTCTTTTAATAATAGTGTGCCACTGTTGATTTTTTATTATTCTGACCTATGCAGATGACTTGATGAAATTAGAAGCCGATTCAAAAGAACTTTGTATGGAAGATCAATTAAGATCACTAGGAATACTTGATACATGCAACTCTCCGCTTGATTATATACTATTTGATGGTATTAATCTTGAAGCTAATTTGCCACCGAAGAAGGTTCGTACTTGATCGAGACAAATAATGTTTTACGATTGCAAATATATCGCGATTTTATTTTCAATCAAGATTTAATTTGTCATTTAGCTAATTTTTGTATTATCAGATGAGAGCAGCTATTTCTTCTATGGAGCCTGGTGATGCTCATAAGTTGCTCGAAAAGTTGGTGAAATTGTGGCAATCAAGGTTTGGTTGAGTGTCCGTTACGTGCATTCTCTAGCTTCTAATATTTTATATACCATTAACCTATGCTACTCGGATTCTGATGTAACTGTCAGATACAAATATGTTTCCATATGGGTATGTTCAATTTTATCTTTCTTAGTTGCTTTGATTCCTTGGTTTTAAAAGGCGTGCCTCGGGTGCGCCTCTCGCCGAAAAAATTGCCCACCTGGGTCTGGGCGAACGGCATACGAGAGGCGCCATGAGGCACGCGCCTCCGAGTCGGGCGCCGGGCGCACACTTTTGGAAGAAAACGTAGAATAGATCAAAGAAGATAGGAGAATAGCTGCAGAAGAACAGTGGTGAAGAACGGCTAGGGCAGTCATTTTTTTCACTATCTTAACCCTAATACATAAAGTTACTTAACCTATTAATCAATCAGCCCAAGCCCATTATAACTTTTTCACATTTTGCCTGCTTTTAATCGAAAGTACTCTACTGCCGTCTCTATCCTCTCACCTTTTCTATTCTTTCTTTATACTAATAAAAATAAGATATATTATAATAAAGTAATGTAATAAATATTATGCTACCGCCTATTCCCATCACCCTTCTTTATATAAAAAATTATGTAATATATAAATAAATAATTAATATATAATTATTATACTTATTTTTTTTTATAATTGAAATATAATATAACTATAATAGCAATGTTGCCTTAGGATAGGTGTTACTGTTTTTTGTTCGTTTGTTAATTTGTGCGGACAAATTATTGTTTCACCTAGTTGAAACATGCAACCATTAGTTTGTTATAGTGTTAGTGTGTAACCCTAATTGTTTTGAAATGTTTTGGAAGGTAGGGTTTTGTAAATGGTAGAAATAGGGCTTGACTCTTGAGGAGGGAATAAACAATAGTAAAGGAACATAGTGTGCGAAGGAAATGAAATGTTTTGGGAGTGAACCAGGAGTTAATAGATGTGGATATGTTCTAAATTAATTTATAAAAAAATTTAACACAAAAAGTGTGGTTCGCATACGAAAGGCGCGCGCCTGCGCCTTGCGCCTAGGCTCCAGAGACCTTTTGTGCCTCGGTGCGCCTTTAAAAACCAAGTTTGATTCATTTTTCTTGGAAGTACCTGTGTCCAGCACTTTTTCTGACATGGAAAACATTATAAAGAAAGAAGAAAAAACCGAAACAGACTTGTATTGTATGCATACACGTGTCTAATATTGAGTTTGAGTAAAATAGCTATCCTCCAAGGACCTTCACATACATGGAAATGTGTGTGTATACACATATATGCATATATGTGTAAACAGAATGTACCCGTTTTGGATACATACACTTACACTCGACTCTATGTATGATAGCTATCTTCCAGTCTATTGTTTCGATTTGTTTTTCATTGTGTGAGTACTGGTAGATTGATACTAAAAAAATCTCACATTTAGCTATCTTAAGCTTCATTATTTTATTTGCTAGGCAGCTAGAGCTATGTTGCTCCAACTTTTCATTTTCTTTAGTTATATTCATCTGTGACACGTGTGCAATGAATTTTGGACATGGGTTTTGGGTATAAGACCTTTTAAGGTATCCAAATACGGGGAAAAAGATGAACATGTGTGGAGCACATGCCTGTATTTGATATTCACACTGGATTCCAGTTAACTTGGTGCTAGAGTGAGTTTTTACTCTATTTTAAGCTCATTTTGTTTTATCAATTTTGCATTTCTTCTGGCGAGAAAATATCTACAAACATGATATGTTTGAAATTCACTCTTATTGTCTGCAACAGGTCATTTAGTGGAAAGTATGTTCTCCCTTCGATATATAGTTTATTGCTGACTCTGTCATCTTATAATGTCTCGAGAATCCGTAACTCAGATGCTTGATTGCTTATCGAAGGTAACTATCGTTGAAGGAAATTCCCTACCTTTTGTTAACAAGCATTCTTTTGGTAAAGACTGGGATCCGCGACAACCGTCATGTCACCCTACACATCTGGATATAACTATCAGCATTCATGCGCTTTTACGTTAAAGTTATTGTCCTTTTTGGAGACCCACCAGCCTCTCAATTTTTGTTCACCCTCAATTGTGTCCCATGGTTCGAACCAAGGTGCTTTTGTTTCAAAAGGACTCTTAATCAGGATGTCTTTAGGTTTGAACCAAGGAAAGCCACATGCAAGTTACAAATCCTTGGGTGGAGTGGGGGCAGTGGGTTCTCAAAGAGGACAATACCTTTGATACAAGTACACGAAGGGGTGACAAATCATACCCTATGTTCATAGGGCAACAAAAAAGAGAAATTCGGGAAACCAGTCATACATTTTTCTTCCTGGTTTCACTCTTCTTGCATGAAGTGAGATTAGTATAGTAATTGTCATCATGATACATGATGCCCCTTTTTCCTGAATACTAAATCAAGAGGGTTGGCTCTTCAGTCTTTGCTACAATTATCTGGGCGATTGCAGCTCATAAGAACACAGGTTGGAGAACTTAATGTAGTGACTTTGACTAAATTATTTGTTGTATTCGACTGTAGTTATGTTTCTGAAACAGATTGCCAAGGCAGCTCAGAACAAAAGTCAACACTTCACCAGTGATCACCCAATGGATGGAAGTGAAGATGAAGACGATGATAATGTAGATGACGTTCTTTATGGGGAAGAAGATGAATCTGATGTAGATGACGTTCTTTATGGGGAAGAAGATGAATCCTAAATAAGTAGCGACAACGACAGTTAACTGCCTTTAGTGCAAGAGGTAAATAGTAAAACCATGTTTTGTATTGAACTGTGGGACAATTTATGGGAGTGCGTTTGATTGTTAAAGAAAGTATAATCTCTGTTTGTGAACTAATCTTTTAAATTTCGAGTTGAGCCGCATTAGGTTGTTAAGATTGGCACAAAGCCGCTGGTACAATACCAACTTATTCAGTAGTTGAAAATTTGTTTGGTGGAATGGAAGAGACATTCCCTCCAACCAAACATATTGTATGGAATCAAGAACCTTTACATAGATGCCTCTTGTGGCCACAGAATCAACAGTCATTTCCATAGGAATGAACATGATTGGTATACCACATTTGTCTGGAGTCCAAAAAGCATTCTCATTCAACTCCAAAAACATTTTATGTATTCAACCAACTCTGGAGAATTTCATGAAACAAATCCTTATTACCAGGCAACAATCGATTATATTATTTGGGTATCACAATACTGCTTTCCTACTTGGCTGAAAGCAACTCAGTGCATTTTGTATGATTAAATTATTTCTAATTTATAATATTTTGCGTGTACACGTACAAATATTATAAATTTATAACAGTTTATGTATATACTCACAGTATCTTTAGCAGCATTTTGTTTATCTTGTATTAAATTCCTCTAGATGAGTATACTCATCTAGTTGGATTAGGATTATAAATAAGACGAGACAAATGACATGTTACTCGAGTTCAATTTAATCAAAATATGATCAATACTCAAATCGAATAAACTAGACTTGAGTTTTTTAACGAACCGAACTAAACTATGTCTACCCTACTCGAAAAACTCAAGAGCAACTCAAAAAAATAATATATTATCTTTTTAATTTTTAAATTAAATTATTAACAATAATTCCATATTATTTCTTAAAAATACAATATAAGATTTCCGTGCCCTTAAAATTCAAATTTGAACTCAACTTGAATCAAACTAAATCTAAAAATGTTTCGAGTTCAAGTGTTTTTCAAACCCAAGTTGAACTTTAATTTTTGATTTCAAGTTGAACTTTAATTTGCGATTTTGAGTCGAGCTTGAACCGAACTCAAGTTTGAACTCTAATCAAGCCAAGTCTGATAATAAAATATCTAATTCAGGCTTTTTTGAGCTCAAGTCGAACTTTAATTTTTCATTTCAAGTTCGAGTCACGTTTGACAATTTTAAATTCGCCAACTTTCAAATCAAGTCAGCTCAAGCTCGTTTACAATCCTAAAGCCAGAAAAGTTTGACTCCAATTTTAAATGGATTCTGGAATTTACATTAATTAAAATTAAAATTAAAATGTAATTATAAAAATTTATAATATACATATTTTTCCATAGTTTATTATTACTTGAGCAATAAAACAAACCGATGGACTGAAGGTGAACTTTTCAGAACAAGTGATAAATTAATCTAACTCGACCCATGGACTGAAAAGCTAAGCCTTAACCCAACACCAATTAGTATTTAACTTAAATAATAACATTAAATTCCAACTTTGGACCAAAACAAAAATTAAAACCTGATTAAGAAAAATAAAAAATTTCGATCCAAGACATATAACAAAATCCAAGCTTGCTAAATGTATGGATCCTGAAACAGACAATATCTTAAGAATATTAAAAAGAAACAATTCTAAGCTTGCTAAAGCCTTTTTTCCTCTAATAATAACATAACAATTAGTTCAAAACCATGTGGTGAAGTAATTGTAATACTTATTATCATACCAGAAAAAGGGCACGTCGGCAAATGAAATCTGAGCAGATCAACTGTTTACTCATGAAGCCGGAGTAATTCGTCGGTAAACTGCTTGGAAAGTCTGCCCGCCATTACGAGCCACCTTTTGTCCTTCTTCGGTCGCGGTACTTAACAGTTTTACAACTGGGTCTGCTTCTAGCTCTGCCACCGAGAGGGGTTCGAACATCGGATGATTCTGCAAACAAGATTTCATCCATTCTCCCAGTTCTTCCACATCTGTAATTGTGTATATAATGCCACCAACTTGAAGAACATAAGCATACTCATCTAACAAGTGAGGACTGATTACCCTACGACGATGGTTTTTCTCTTTGAAATGCGGATCAGGAAATAAGAAAAACATCTTCAAAAGCTGTCCTTTCTCAAAGTAATTCGGAATGTATTTCATTGAATTAGTTCGAACAACGGAGACGTTCTGGTATTGACCGGGATTTGCCACCCTTAAACCTAAAATCCTTTCCTTCACATATTCGGTCACTTTATCCCTGAGCTCCATCCCAATCATTAGAGTTTCGGGGAAAAGAATAGAAAGACTAATTAAAAGCCCTCCAAAACCACAACCGATATCTGCAAACCCAATCTTTTTACAAGTATCAGTCCGATCGGCCAAGGGGAATAGTTGAGGGTAATGGAGTGAATATTCAACATGGTTAGGTGAAAGTGGAACTGGAAAGTGCGAGTCACTTAGAGGATTGCTGTGTGCTCGAGCTCGATAGAATCTTTTCCTAGGCAAGCCAGTAGACTTGTTTATAGTTGGGTTTGCCTTGTTTTGCAACATTATTTTTTCCCTTTTAAGCTGTATAACAAATTAAAATTTCAGAAAACAATAGATGATGCTTAAAATGAACATTGAAATAAGAATGATAGCAGCAAATTGGTTCTTCCGAAAACCATTCTAATCAAACAGAAAGGTAGAACTACATGGCGTAAGACACTGTTAATTCAACTCTTTAATGTTTCTTTAAGTACTCAAATCCGCTATCCATGTGTGACTCATATCCAGGAACCCTCAAAATACATGAAAATCTAAATAAAAAATGAAGTTACTTGCATCCATTACTTACACCCAAGTCTGAACAATATATGTAAAAATAACACGAGAAATTTAAATTCCTAAATCCAAACCCATCAAGACAATTGGAATCCAAACCTATTCCAAAACCTACCAACATGCAAAACCAAATTCCCTAACCCAATTATGGGAAATATAAAAAACCAAGAAGGGGTTCCCTTTTGTAAGAAATGGAATCATTTTCTTATTTCTAGTAAGTTAATAACATTTACTTTTTAGTTAAGGTCAATGTTCCTTGATTTTTCTTTTCTTTTCTGAAGCGCCTATGGTTGATCATAGTGTCCAAACACATGGGAAAAAAGTATTACCACCTAAACCTTTCAAATACTTGGAAAAATTATACCAATGCCGGACAATATGCATGTCCAACACTCACAGAGTAGTTCAAGTTAAGGTCAAAAACATAGAATTCCAGTATTATGTCCACTAATATAGCTAGCGTCAACTTGAACTTAGCTAACATTGAATGTCTCAGACACATATTAGGAAGAAAATATGACCCTCCAAAGTCTCTGAATATACGGAAAAACTTTGAAAAAAAATTAAACATACTTGTATTGAACATATACGTATATCTGCTATTGCCAAAAAAATGAAAGTAAAGAGATCAACATAACGATTTCAAATCAATGGTATAACCACTGATTCTATTTTGCAGTAGTGGTGCCACCCGCCACCGCTAAAGACCTCACAATACCGATGTTAAAAAATATAGGGGAATTATGACTCCAAAATCTCATGATTCGATTACAAAGAAACGCTCAAGTTTAGGGTTTCAGAAACTTACCTTATTCGATGTCCTGGTCAGAGAGAACCTTAAAGGAAAGAGAAAGCTTGGGTTTAGGGTCTGGGAAGAAGGTTGAGCTATCCTTTGGCGGTGGAGTTGTGTGAACAGATTTAAGAGTGGGTCGGGAGTTTTTAAAGGAAACCGATTTGTTGGGTTTTTTTTTTTCTTTTAGGGCAAACTACACATTATAGTGAGTAATTTTTTTAATTCTTTTATTTATTATACACTTTATAGTGAGTAATTTTTTTTAATTAATTTTAATATTAAACTGGTATAATGATAAAATTAATGTCTAAATGTTTGATATAAAATCACCTTAACTTTTATTCTTTTATTAAAGTATTTCCATCCTAATATTTTATTTTAAGACAAATATTGTATCAATATCTCAATCCATATAGATTTGTCTAGTCAGCATGAAGCGTTAAACGTTAGTTAACTAAAAGTTTCATCAAACCAAATAATATTTTATCCTAAAATAAATCGTTAGAAATCAAAATATTTAAAAATTAATAGAGACCAATTTGTCCATTTTTTCAAATATTAAATACTAATTTTATAATTATACTTATTAAAATTTTCTTTTAGAATTAACTAAAATCTTAATAAATAAAATTTTATCAATTTTAATATCAAATTTTAATTTATATTTTAATTGGTATAATATATTGTTTATATAAAAGAATAAATTACTTATGTGTTCACTCATTTATTTTTATATTTTTATTTTTCATCATTCAACTAATTTTTAAAATTATATATAATATTTATTTTATTTTATTTATTTATCATTAGATTTAATCATCAATTTAACAAATATGAAAACACAAACAAAAATTTGATCTTTTAATATATATATATATATATATATATATAAAAGAAAAAATCTACAGCCCACGTCGCACATCACAACACTCCATTAAATAAGTAATAAACGAATAAATTACACGTTTTGTTTTGTTTTAATATCTAAATTTTAATTTTTAAAAAATCATTAGATTACGTAGCATGACATGTCAATTTTTTAATATTTTTTAACTACCACATCATTTACCAATTAGGTGGTGACATATGAGGAAAAAAAGATAGAAATTATTCTTGCTCCTAATACAAATTGAACTTGAGCATCTTACATAAGATACAAAGCACTCAATAATTAAGCTAAGCTAGTCATTTGGGTATGTTTCATCGTATTGTATTTAACTTATATAACAATATCACCACAAAACTTTTTTTTATGATTATAAGATTTAAATATAAGACACTTTAAATGAATGATCGAAAGCTTATTCACTCAACTATAGTGTACATTTTTTTTATTATACTAAATTGAATACTTACTAATATCATTATTAAATTCAAAGACTAATTTTCACTTTATTTAAAAATAATTAAATAATTTATATATTTTTATAAAATTTATATAAAATCATTATAAAAAGTATTTTTATAATATTATAAAAATATTTAATTAATTTTTAAAATCATATTAATTATTTATTTAAAATAACATTATTTTAGAACCATCTATTTAATTTTAAAGAATTTAAAATTTAGAATAAAGTACATTTTAGTATCCAACTATCACTTTGGTTCTGTATAATATTATTTAAAATTAAATAGATACTTAAAAATAATATTATTTCAAATAAATTACTAATATTATTTAAAATAAATAAATAATATGATTTTAAAAATTAAATAAATATTTTTATAATATTATAAATAATATAAATTATTTATTTATTTTGGTATGAAAAGGAAAGGAACCGGCCTAATATCTTGGCCCTAGGCCATCACTAAGACTCGAGCAGCTTTCTTCCTTGTAGACCTCTACGACACAATCTGGTGGTTCGCGGAAATAACACATCCCTGTCCCTACAAGCAATGTCAACTTTGCCAACCCGTTGGCAACAAAATCGCATTTGCGTGGTACCTGTGTAAACCTCACTTGCCAATCTCTTCTCAAAAGCGCCCGAATATGAGGCAAAAATGACGAACTACTCCCCTTGTACTCAGCATTAGATAAAGTGTTGAGCACATCACCACTGTCCGTCTCAACTATAATTGATGTAACTTGACACTCCCACACCAACTTGAGACCCTCCAACATACCCCACAATTCTGCATCAAAGACGGAGCAAATCCCAATCGCTCTGGAATAACCCATCAACCATTGACGATCACTACTCCGAAGAACACCCTCACACGACGCCCGACCTGAGCTAACGTGACCGCACCATCAGAGTTCAACTTTATATAACCCTGTGGTGGAGGTTCCCACGCTGCCCCCCAACCAATCGATGTTAATCCATGGCTTAGCCCTAGAATCAAACTCGATCTAGCACACCTTGTCTCGATAAACATCCTTCGACTAAGGGAGAGGATGTTCTCGCCGGCCACAGAGTGCTCCTCAAATAGAATTTTATTTCGCCTCATCCATATGTTCCAAACTATGGTACCAAACAGTAATTCCCAACTCCGCGCAAACAGGAAAGTAGTCCGATTGGCTTATGTTCTTCCTGATCTAGGATGACAACTGTCGCAATCGGTTTTCGTCCGGGCACGAATATTTTTTTGGCGGGAAAAGCATGTGAATAAATAAATAGTTTTTAATAAAATATTTTTGAACCGCTATCGATTTTTTGGGTTAGGTAAGTCGAATACCTAAAAATCATCTTTTAAAAGAGTTTTTAAGAAAACATCATTTAAAAGATAAATCAGTCTGCGTATAACCAAAAATTTATTTATTTTACTAATAAAAAGAGATTCGTGGTCGATTACGTTAGGGGAATGATTAACACCCCACAACGCCCAAAATTGGTATTCGTCTATTATAAATTGTCTCTGGTAATAGAAATTTAAGAATTCGAATCGCAGAATTTTAACAGTAAATTCTAAGGAAAATAGGAAATATTTCAATATTTCCAGTCGAAGATAAAATAATACCTAAAATACTTTAGGACAAATATTTCTTTTTCCAACTAAAATAAAAGAATATGGTAATTTCTCATTGAGAATTTTAGATTGAAAAAACTTGATTCGACTAAATAGGCATATTTGATTTTTCAGGTTATATAAATAAGATATTTATTTATTTAAAATATCACAATAGGACATCTAGTTGCTTTAATAAAGTCATTTATTTAATATTTAAAAATAAATAAATATTTTAATTAAATATATATATTCATACGATTAAAATGAAAATAAAATAAAAAGTAATAATTAAAGTACTTAATTTAAAATATTGAAACATAAAGGGTAATAATAAAAATAAAATAAAATTTCAAATAATAGTGACCAAAATAACAAAACTATAGGATTAAATTACAAAATATATAAATTAATGGCCCTAATTAGAAATATTATGAAATATAGGTACTATTAGTGTAATTTAATCATAATTAATTAATTCGGGATCAAAATAAAAATTATTAAAACAATAGGGACTAAATATGATATTTACTCTAAAATATATATATAAACATAACAGGTTTTAAAATATAATAAAATAAAATTCGAATACTAAATTAGAAGGCACAAAAATTGATTTTCAACGACCAGAATGCAAAGTTACAAAACCAGAGGGACTAAGGGCATAATTTACCCATATGAGAAATTACACATACACTCCTCCCTAAAACAACATCGTTCGGAGAGGGATATTTAAATCCGAAAATCAGCCCTAAGGGCCAATCTCTATTCATTTTTTCATTTTGTTTCTCTCTCATTTTTTCATTTTGTTTCTCTTTTTTTTTCATTTTGCTTCTCTTCTCTAAGCTCTCACTTCTCTCTATAATTCCCTAGTCGGAGGGAATTCGGCCACCGCCGATCGCCGTGCTCCGGTGCCGATGATCACCGCTGGTCACCGTTCATGGTGGCTGAAAATTACAAAATTACCCCAAATCGTAGATCTCCCCGACCTAAAGTTGAATCCGTCCTTTATTTCTCCTAAAAACCCAATAATCTTAGTAGATCTAGGTTTTTACCTTCGATATTTCAGTTCTCCGGCGGCACGTGGAGGCTCCAATGACCGTGTAGTTTCCTTGGTAAGTTTCTCTTTTTTTTTTCGGTTTGATGTTTGGCTGCTATGGGTTGTTTTGCTCTCTTTGTTTATTTCTCCTTTTTGTTTTTTTCCTCTTGCAGGCTTGGTGATTTTTATAGCCACCATGGAGCTCCCTTCGGACCGGTTAAAGAGCGTCCTCGATGAGTCACCGAAACTACTGTAGTGACTCACCCTAGGGTTGCGACGTATGAGGCCATCCTTGCATCTTCTGGAGTCTTCGGTTGAGGCGGGGGCGTCGTGGTAGCGGCTGGATGGAGCTCTTAGTGGCGACGACCGGCGCAAACCCTAGGGTGTAATGAAACCCTAGGGTTTCTGCTGGAACTATCTTGGCCATTGGATCTCTCCATATCCAACGATTGAGATCGCTGGCGGTTGGAACTGAGATGTGTGAAACCCTAGATGCATTTGGGTCTGGACCGGGTCTGGGCCTAAACTTTGTATTTTGTTTTTGTTGGGCCTCCGGGTTCTTGTAAATGGGCCTGTAATATCTGTAATTATTATTATTTAATAATAATAATAATAAAAAATAAACGGGACAAAACCTTAGTGTCTACAACTTCATGTTCGAAAACTCCTCTAGTCTGCTCGGTTTAATGAGTCTCTCCCATGTAGCTCTAGCAACAAAATAATCGCTAAATACATGCGACAACGATTCAACCGAAGCTCCACAAATTGAGCACCCCGTGTCCAAAATAAGGTGACGCCGGGCTCTTTCCTCATTAGATAGCAAACGACCCCTGCTCAATAGCCATAGACATGTTTTCACCCTTGTTAAACCCTTATAACTTGTAAGGTACTCCCATTTGTTGCTTACATGGTTCAGCTTGTCACCTATTAATCTTTTATAAGCGCTCCTTGTTGAAAACCGGCGACTGCTCTCCCCCTGCCACCCTGGTACGTCATCACCGTCCCTGGAAATTGGTGGAGGAACGGCCTCGATATAAGGTATAATAGTAGGATAATTTTTCTCGTGAAAAAACAAGCACATCCATTCACCATTGGATTCCGAACCCCGGTGGTATCATTACCAACGTAAGTATCCCGCAACAAACCAACTTCACTTTACCAATTATCGTTCCAGAAATCCAAGGTAGCACCATTGCCGAGGCTCCACACAATACCTTCATAACTTCCACACCAAGCTAATTACATTCTATGCCTCGACGAACCTGTTTTAGGAATCGAAAGTGGAGTAATCTCACACATTTTATACTTAGCATGAACAATTTGCACCCACCAACGATTCCTCCAGCGAGTAACTAGAAAGCAAGCTGAATAAGTAATACTACATTATGATATTTCAGTCTCCGCAAACCTAACACGCCCTGTGTAGTATCAACACACACGACATCCCAACTCATAAGATGTACCCTTTTCCTTTGATCCGTGTTACCCCAAATGAACCCTCAGATCAATTTTTCAATTTCTCTAGACATACCAATTAGCAGTGAACAAGACTGCATAATATAGGTAGGAATAACCGCCAAAACCGATTTTGCCAAGAGAATTCTCCCTGCGAAAAATAAATTTCTGGCCTTCCACCCCGACAATCTATTTTTTTACATTTTGCAAGACGTAGTGGTACGTTGGCACTCCAGGATATCTACCAAGATCACCCACCCGGGTGTACTGAAAACCATTACTTATATCATTTTTTGAACCCCTTTTAGTACATTCTTAGAGAAATAAATATTAGTCTTAGCCAGACTGACCTTATGCCCAGATGCCTAACAAAAATCAGAGACTATCTGTTGGATGACATCGAGCTTAGCCAAAGAGGCCTCGTCAAGAAGAACCAGATCGTCGACAAAGAAAAGATGGGATAGCGGTGGCCCTCCACGAGACAATTTTATTAGTTTCCCCCACTTCCGATCCATAACATTCTTAATAGTTTGCACAAGCCGCTCCATGCACAATACAAACAAATAAGGTGACAGAGGATCACCTTGACGGATACCACGAGAAGACTTGAAGGATCCTGTCACCAATCCACTCCAAACAATATGGGTTGATACTAATGAAATACAGTTCATGATTAGCATCCCGAGCGCACCTGGACAACCGATATCCCCTAAAGTATCATCAATGAATGACCATTCGAACCTTTCATAAGCTTTTTCTAGATCTATTTTGATCGTTATCCACCCCGCCTTCCCAGATTTTCACTTCATTGAGTGAATGACCTCCTGAAGAAGGCCTGGGACAAAGCTACTATGTTCTTCAGAAATCCAATTTGGGAGGAACAGTTTCAACCGATTAACTATTACTTTAGTAGTTTTCTTATATAACACAATGCATAGAATAATCGGGCGGAATTAAGAGATAATCTTCGGCCTCTCCACTTTTGGCAAAAGAACCAACAAAGTCCAATTGATTTCCTCAGGGACAGTCCCTGACTCAAGACAATTACAGGCAAACTGATAAAGATCCTGACCAATAACACCCCAATTCTTCTGGTAAAAAAAAGAGGGAAATCCATCAACACCGGGTCCCTTTGACGAATTCTTTCCAAAAAATTGCATTCTTAACCTCCTCAGGCCCCACCGAATCGAACAAATTAGAAAGAGCTATCCACAATATTTTCTTGAAACGACCCTAAATATTATATATATACCCAACAACACCAGTGGATGAAAAGAGATCATGGTAGAAATTAACCGCCAACTGTCGAAGAGATAAATTTCCGTCCTCCATCTGCAGTGAGAGGATACGATTATTACGACGTCGAATCCTCACACAAGCATGGAAATATGTAGTTTTGCGATCGCCACTTTGAACCCAATTACATCTCACCTTCTGCCCCCAAATGCTTTACTCCCGTGACAAGATAATCTCAAGCAATTTCCAATTCAACAAGAGCCGGCATCCCCAAATATTCCGTTTCATTTTACCAATACCAAATAAGACTTCCCAGTTCCACTTGGTTAAATTCACTTTCAGCCAATCCAAATTTTCAACAATCGGCCTGCCACACTATCAAGAGTTCATCGCCGCATTAAACGTATCATGTTCTTGCCAAGCTTGGACAAACTTAAAAGATGACGGTTCCTTGCATGCCTTAAAGCCTGGGTTTGTAAGAGAACTAGGCAATGGTCCGAACC